CATCATGTTCCTGCTTGCTGTTAAGCCAGGCAGGCATCAACCGGTGGCCAACGCTAGTACAGTACTACTCTGCTACTATGGTGCCTTTGATGGAGCAGACATTCGGACATTATAGACAACACGAATATATGATTTTTTCTGAGAATAATCGTAAATTAGGTTCCACAGAAAAATTCAGAGTCTGAGGTTTCGCAAAAGATGAATCGCGACCCGTCAGGAGTTCACTTGATTGCCTCTAAACTGCTTTTATTGCCTCCATAGAGGGGAATAAGCGTTACATTAATTTAATCAAGTACTGTAATATTATGAGGTACATCATATCAAGTCATGATCATAAAGTTAATGAAACATTCAAGCCCAAGCATACAGAATCAGTGAACATGGATTTTTAAAAGGGCCTTCGATTGAACGCTAATGTAATCCAGTTGCCTTTTTTCGACCATGCCTCAAGCTGGAACATTGAGAACATTTTAGCCAAATATAATTAGTGACTGACTAAGCCTGTGTTTTTCAAAATTATTTACATTTTTGATGCCCGCAAAGCATACAGCTTTGGCGATGGTAGAGTTTGCTTTTGTCTTTTAGTTACAAATTTTTCATTTCAGGCAATATCCTAAAGAGACAAAAATAAGTTCACTTTAAACCAGTTTCGCTTAAAATGAAAAAAAAAAATCTATCTATCGATCGAACGATCGATAGATATAGAGATATATCTATCTGTCTATATCTATCTAATCTGAGGAAAGACCTAAGAATCTGAGAAATTATATATATATATATATATATATAGATATATAGATATATAGATATATATATATTTTATACAAAATACAATTCCAACAAAATAATTAGCCAGTCATGCTAACGTTCATCGCACACCTTTTAGAAGCACTGTATTGCTAACCAGCTTTCTTGCTACATATTCAATCATGAATAAATAAACAAAATGGCATTGCTAATGATCGCCCCCCTGTTAATAAAACTGAAAGACGACTTTATTATCAAGAGGTTTGGCACCCGCGGACATGAATAGGAATTCATAAATTAATCTCATGTTCCTTTCATGCTCAAGCACTAGCTTTTAATCAACCCAATCCAGCTGCCATTCACATCATTAGTATTCAGTCACATTCCATGAGAGACTGCTAAATTGCTTCGACAACAAGTACTGGAATTCAACCCAACAGAGACTTCATGCTAGACTGGAAACAAATGTTGTCTCTCTTAGCTGAATAACAGATCTGACAGACGCTAATTAAACAAGATAACTGTTTCATCTTGTCTTAACCAATTAGCATTACTGGCGATTGACAAGCACTTATTTAAGCCACATTTATCATATCAGAGCCTGCCCAAGGGCATCTACAGTATGGTTATAAGCATAGAGTTTGATTCAAAATAAGTAGACTGTAAATTAAGCTCCGCGATAAGCGACTTCGCCGATTTGTATGCATCCTCATCCCCCCGGCTTCTAGCAGGAAACATTTTCATGGAAACAAAGCACGCTGACCTCGCCATGCGAAACCGCAGAGGTTGTTGTATAGTTTGCTAATTATAGGGTGCCTGCAGTCAAAATTCTTAAGACACTCAAGAGTAGCCTTGACCTTGAGTCGATCTGTTTTTACCACCAATCAAATACTGTATGTATTTAATGTGATAAACAATGGAGCTGCCTCGTGATCAAACGATTGTTTACTGTTATTCAGAACAGAGTGTACAAAATTACCCTTCGGCACTGAGGCACATGCTGCTTCACCAAGTCTAAAGACAAAGACATTATTATCAGATCATAGGTACTAATACTGGCAATTGTCTGTGAATCTGCAAAGTAATATCTGTGTTGATTTTATAGATGACTTTAATACCACTTAAAACATGAAGCCTAAAGTGGACATTTGTAGTGATAGTAGCGATTCAGCCATGCAGACGCTTCATTAGTTAGGACATCCAAGACCATTGCCAAAATATTTCTAGCTCCTCCCACTTCACATCCAATATGAGATGATATCGACACACGGGACTCTCGGTCTGCCCTAGATTTGACCCTAACCGTAAACCCTAAACTGTAAAAAAAAAAAATAATAATAATAATGTTGTTGCAAAGCATGTGAAAGTCCATGTGAGTGACGCATGCTTCTGCAAACGAATACAAAGCATTCAAACATTTCCATTAACAAAGGAACACAGCCTAAATACAAATGTCCTCTATTGTGGCGGTGCCATAACCTGCTTAAGGCTCACAACGCAGGCGGGAGAACGCAACCCGATGTTTCTATTTCAATTCATCAAGCCCCATTAAACAAGTGTTACCACGCATACCATCGCCGTGTTATTTTCTGCTTTACTTAGCAGGATATTGCATCATATTTCGGGCAGATAAGGCGCGATGTCAAAGGTTTTTGTGGATGTATAAACATCACCAAGTTTGTTATGAAATAATGGCAGTCTTTTTTTTTTTTCGTCAACGTCAGCTCGCGGGTAACTGCAATGTGGCGTTCGCACAAACTTTGAGTCACTTTAACTGGCAAAATATTTGCGCTCATGGAATGGGCACACGTAGACTTTCAGGCAGACACACTGAAAAAAAGGACGACAGAGCTGTCATTCATGTCACGTTGTTGTTTTTTTTCTTGTTTAAATTCAATAGGACAAAAGAAGACTACACGTTGTGTATTTATAAACAACCGTGTAACCTTGCCGGATAAAAGTTTGCGAGCTTAATGCTCAACCGATACAATATGCTATAGATGCGCAATCAAAACTGGTGTAATCGCAGAGTCATGATTGCTCGCTCTCATACCACAAAAGACGCGGGGAATTCCCAGTTACATCTTATACTGCAACTGTTTCACCAATAATATGAGTGAAGTAAACCTCTTTGTGTTATTTGCACCCCCCCCACCCCCACACACACACACACACACATCCCCAATCGTGTGTTTAACTGAGTTTGCACACCGTTGCTTATTGAATGCACTCCTTGCGCACTGGTGATTCGGATCAGCGGGCAAGCGAGGGAATATCAATCTTGAACACAGTAGCTCACTGCAGATGCCGGTTGCAGATGTTCCCGCAATTTTTTGCCACAAGCAAGCGAAGCTTTGTATCTCCGTGTTTCGATCGCCTCCATCATTCAATTTGCCCCCCCGAGAATGTCGATTGCTCATCAACGAGGGCTCTTTTCTTCACGTAGGCACGTAGGAAAAATTGACTTGAAACCAAATTCATCATGTTTTTTTTTTGTCTCTTCCTGATGATGCGTCAACTTCATTAATGTGATTTGAACATGCTGTGATGACAACTACAAGTCAATTACTGGTGTTCAAATGAGGCTTTAAGCTGTTTAATTCCTTTCCCCGTACAGGTTTCTTGTCAAAGTAAACATAAAACAAAAGAGAAGTACATGTTGTTTCTTTGAAACAACCACGTACTGTAGATATGCTTTAAATTCTGTCATCCGAATGCCAACGCATAATAAGAAATGCCATAGATGGGCTAATGAATAGCAAAATATCCTTTTAACACAGGATATTTCATCACAAATGGTGCGACAAACAATAATATTCATGGACATATATTCTTTATCCTCTGCGAAAAACAACAAATATTACTGCAGCTTAGAATAAAGCTAAAACGTTGCCAATATTTTTGGTTTTGTTTTTGGGGAGGCTGTAACAAATTAATTCAATGCGGAAAGAGGATTTGAGACACGAGTATTTTGAGTTAGGAGCAATCAATTAAAATCATATCCGAAGGCACCATTGTATTCTTTCTTACCATCGCAAATGCAGAAGGAACACAGTTTGAACACCAGTTGTTCAAAATAGAAACCTTCATGGAGAACATGAAACATAACAGGTCAATCTTGATTACATTCGTTCAGTCTTTAAGATAGATTAGAACGCATCCTTGATCTTCACGTCTGATGTGAAATGGTATCGGTGAGACGCAGGCTCAAGCAGATGCTTCATACATAGCGGTTTAAAATGTGGCTCACGACATCATTTCCTTGAGAGTGTATGCCAAGCTTATTAAATAATGGATATAGCCACTCAACCTTCAAATGAAAAGGGGGCACACTCAAGCGGCTTCATCAGAAACACACTCAAGAATCTTCAAAGACTTCTTCTATTTGTGTGGATGTGACTTTTAAATAGACGGAATACGTTACTGGACCACACTTTTAATGCATTTACATAATCATTAAATATCTTGCAATTAATTGACAGATGTTCAAGTTACTTTGGTTGGATAAAGCAAAAACTACCTTACTGATATCATTGGGACACTGTGATCGATTTGGAGAGATAGCGTGTGCTCACTTGATGGATCACAGCTCCGCTTCCCCACTGACCCACCCCCCGCCCCGACTCCAACTTAGCATTTAACTCCACAGTGTTTGTCAAGACAGCGATGATGAATTGTGGTCGTTTTGCGCGAACCCCTTCCGATGGCCAAGGTATTTGCAGTCAGCGGCGGTTGGATGCTAATAAATATTTATTTTCTCCTACCTTTGTGCTATAAATGCTCTGGGGTAAGTATGCTTTCATCAGAAGCTCAACTTTGCATCTGTATTCAGCTGTCATTCCCTCGTGCGCAAAAGCCAAACGGCCACCTCTAAAAGTCAGCCACTTTCACACCGGCGAACTATCATCAGCGTTCTTAGCTCTCAGTGCCACAACTTTTTTCGTCTCATTAACTTTTTTTTTTTTTTTTTTAACCCCGGCTGCCATCCTATCACCACTCCCGTACACATACACCCGCTAATTCCCCCTGTCGCTTCCTAAGCGTCACGCTGACGGAGCCTGAAGTTCACTTCCTCATTCTTCAGAATGCTAATGGCTTCTCTAGACAAAGGCACCAAACCAAAGAATAAACACTCAGACAAAGCCAAGTAAACTCAAAGATCTCAAGAAACAAACGCATCATGCCACGATCCGAAGAAATTAGAAAAAAAGTTATTGAAATCTATCACTCCGGAAAAGGTTACAAATTCATTTTCAAGCCTCTGAAGCTTTAGCAAACCACTATCAGGGCCATTATCCACAAATGGTTCTCTATTCTCCAACTGGGAACATTGGCAAACATTCCCAGGAGTGGTCGACCAGAAAAAATTACCCGAAGAGTTCGACGACGACTCATCCAGGAGGTTGCGAAAGAAACGAGAACAACACCCTAAGAACTCCAGACTTCCCTGGCCTCAGTTTAGGTCAGTGTTCACGACTCTACCTTAAGAAAGACACTGGCCGATAAATGACATCCATGGGAGATTTTGTGTTTCATTTATGTAATAAAAGTGCAACGCTACATAATTTTAGTCCGCAGAGTATTTTCTGTTCCACATGTCAAAAAAAATGCAAAAGTGCTTGCTGGAAGCTGCTTGTGGTAACTCCCACCTGATAGAACGAGAGGCTCCACTTTACACTCAATTATCTGCCCTACAATAGCGAGTTGCCACTCCAGTGTTCCCAGTGATAACAGCCTTTTTATTACAAGTCAAGCATTGTCTCATTCAATGTGGAAAAACGACACAAGCTTTTGACAAAACTTTTGACATGGCCACTTCTCGATCGGTTCGCATACGCAACACGCACACACGCTAAAATGATGGAACAAAAGGTCATGTTATGTAAGAAATATTGAAATAATAGCTCAAGGCTATGACTAAAAATTTTCATCGACGGACATATTGCGCCCCCCCCCTCCACGCCGCTGAAAAAAAAAAGTCCAAATTGCAACAATAACACATTTTTGCAGTATCTTGAGTTCCTGTTAGTCATTTTTGGGGGTGCAAAATTGGAAATAAAAATCAAATGTGATATCCACCCGCTTGTTTGCTTATTCAGCAATATAAAAACACCAATAACTATTCTTATTATTATTATGATTCCAAGTAATAGTATTCATGGAACCGAGTCAGTATACTTCGTATCCTCTTGAAACAAAAGGTGGTCTCATGAATGAATTGTTGCACACAGATGGAATGAGGGAAAACGTTGCTAGGAGACCCCCGCCATCATCTATTTCTCCCTCGATCCTGCAGCACGTGCATTCAGTCCCAGTGCGCGTGCGTGTGTGCCTCCTTTGCTCCTACTATAAAGCCACCATCAGGATCGGCTTTGCCTCAGTGCAGCCGAGGATGCTCTCACTTCATCTGTCCAATGGGTGACGTCTGATTCCCCGCCATCCCCCGCCCCTGCTTACCGATCGAATATGAAGTTTTGAGGAGGCGAGTTACACAAATGGACCGAGCAAGAGGAGGTGACGGAAGAAGCTGCGATTGCCAGTGGAATGAGTTGCGCTCTGTGCGATTAAAATGAGCTGTCTGCAACTTCAATGGCATTTCTGTCCCGTCCCTCACTCGGCATTCCTCCTCCTGACAGCACATTTTTGATTCCCATTCATTTTTTTCTCTACTTTTCTCCTTCTTCTTAATCCCAAGAATGCACCCCTATTCTTCCTCGGAGAGGAACTCCACGGAGCTGAGCTTATGGCTGAACAGCTCCGAGGCGAACTTCTCGCGGGGGGGACGCGACTACGGCGAGGGGGAGCAGCGGCAACGGTGGGAGGTGAGCGAGGAGGAGGATGGCGAGCAGCATCCCTTTCTTACCGACGCCTGGCTGGTGCCCCTCTTCTTCTCCCTCATCATGCTGGTGGGCTTGGTGGGCAACTCTTTGGTTATCTACGTCATCTCCAAGCACAGGCAGATGAGGACGGCCACTAACTTTTACATAGGTGAGGGAAAGCACACACACCCACACCGCACACAAACAGGAAAAAGGATGCAAGGACACACAAAATCGAATTAACGCTCAGCGAATGGGCATCAAATGCACCGCATGATTATTTGAGTCAGGGTCAGACTACTGGAACAGTGCCATAAACATTTGCTTTACAGATGCCACCAAGTATGCTTTGCAAGAAGCATGTGTTGCGATGAAGATGTCAACAGCCTTTATTTCATCACCACTATTTATTAGATAAATTTTTTTTTTTTAGTATTTTAAATTTTTTTTTTTTTTTTAGAGACAGAAAAAAAACCACTTTCTGCTACCCAACGTGCTGTTTAAGACCAGAGATGGGCATTCTGTCCCTGGGATGCAACGGTCCATCCGTCTGTCCTGGACTGACGCCCATTTTTGGGACAAAGGACGGAGGACAAGAAGGTTTTTTTTTTAAAAAAGGAAAAATTAAGTAAGGACGGAAATGGGTTTTCATGGACAGCGGTGACTATAGTGGACATCTTATCATGTGATTAGGTTACAGGGTGCATGACAGGGTTAATCATCCCTACCCAGGTTGAGTATGTGGTGTCGGGAGGCAAAATAACAAAGCCAGCGTGTTGTCAAACACTCTATTTTCTTCACAGGCTATTTCATCTCAACAGTATTTTTATGGCAACACTGCCACCTAATGTAGAGTCAGAGAACATAACAAAGTGCCTACGGACACCCATTTCACTAACGATCAATACAGCTGGTTAAGAAAGCTCCCTTGTGTTGTATGTCTCTCGGTATCCGCCACCATGCTGATGACTAGGATTTCTAAAAGTTTTTATTATTGTTCTTTTATTTTATCACCGTAACTTATTTTTGCGTTGTGAAATACTCTTGTTGAGTCGCTTAGATTAGATTAGATTAGATATCCTTTATTTGTCCCACACTGGGGAAATTTACAGCCTTCAGCAGCAAGATTGTCGCTAAGACATTAAAAATATGAAGAAACGGTGATGTCATTTTTGTTTGATTGATGGCAATATTAATTTCATTGCTTTTCTGTCCATGATCTCACTAGGCCAGGAAGAAACTGTTACATTATGTCAGGTGTTGAATAAGTACAGTTACCCTTTCCTACAGACCCCAAATGTGATATCCACATTTTTCCGTCTTTTGAAAGCTCTGCATATAAATCAGACGATCCGTGTCCTTAAACGGAGCAGTGTGTGTGTGTGTGTGTGTGTGTGTGTGTGTGTGTGTGTGTGTGTGTGTGTGTGTGTGTGTGTGTGTGTGTGTGTACAGAGTGTATGTGGCATGAATTTAATGTAGGAAGAACATTACCCCATAGGCCCGGTGGAGAACATTTTAGCATTCAGCAAACAGATTAGTGGGAAGAGCACCACCTGCGCTACCTCTCTGCTACTATTGTGATTAAATCAGAACATCGGAAGATAGTGTTTGGTACGTCTATTCGGAATACCACATTATACCGACAGCTGCAACGGCAGGTTAAAATTGCTTACAGAATGATAAATTGCAGCTGTCACTGCAGATTCTTTATTGTGTAGCGATGAGTGAAAGTTGCACACGGAATATGAAACCATCTGTCGTTCATCATAAACTAAAGTTCTCATCTTCATTTTTTGTTTTGAAAACATTTTCGATGAATTTGGATAATGTGAACGAATGAAGTATTTTTATTACTTCTATCTTTTTATAAAGTATCATGTGAAAAAAAAACAAGAATAAAATTGTTATTTGTATTTGTATTCATTCCTTTTAATTGGTATAATGAACACAATTCTCACCGGCATGGTAATTATCATTCATTCTTGTTATTTTGCATCTTTGAAAATATTTATTAGGGTACTTTTTGTAAAAAGTTTTTAAAAAAATTGTAATTTAAAAAAAAATCATACATTTTTATGAAAACCTATAAATTAGAATAATAATAAATGAAATTAAATTGTCACGGTTTATTTATTTAATTTTTTTTTTATATCACACACGGTGGTGGTGGGTGTCAAAGTGGGGCCATCTATCCATCCATCCAAATTCCTCTGAAATACATCAAGTAACAAAGTGACTGCTTTGTGTCATCTCACCCCCAAATGCAGCAAACCTGGCCGCCACCGACATCATCTTCCTGGTGTGTTGCGTTCCCTTCACGGCCACCCTCTACCCGCTGCCCGGTTGGATTTTTGGCAACTTCATGTGCAAATTTGTGGCCTTTCTGCAGCAGGTAAAACGACTCCGACACTAATGATGATAAACACAACAAAGATTTGCGCTTCTGTTCAAATATAATGAATGCGTTCTCTCTGCCTTTTATGTGGATGCCCAGAGCTTAAACAGAGCACGTCCAGTAAAGCCTAAAAGCCTGCTTTTAACAACGTGCTCACCAAAGTCAGGCAGTGTATGCTATGCTTTCACGGAATCCATCACAGAGTTTAGGTTCTGTTGAAAGCATTAGCGCAAAAACGATTCTCCCCACACTTTTTAGACAGAGCTCTCAAAGTGCCAGTGAAGTAGTTCCATAACAATCTCACCCAAGCAGGCTTTGCTCTCTGCGCTTGGAACAGAAAAAATGATGATTGCGTCCTGAAAATTCCAATTGGTCTAAAATATTGAACAAAAATCCAGATTCCACTGAAATGAAACATAATGCATAAATTGCATGAGTCATTTTGGGATGTTTTCAGAAAACACACACACACACACACACACACACACTGGAAGTAAATATGGTGTAGGGACCATATCGCCAGACTAGCAAGGCAGGAAGGAGGAGGTAGAAATGTTTTGCGGATATGTGACAACGCTCCTCGAGCTCCTCATTTAATGGAGACGTCTACTAAAGATGATGTCACATCATTGTCGCATGTAATAAATGAACCTGAATTACGACCAGCACCTCAAATGTTGAAGCTTTGTGCTTCAAGTGGGATTAAATTAAAGTTAAATATAGAGACAACACTGTTACTCAAAACAAATCTGCGGATTCGCCGACGATATAAATTAGTCTCTTGGGCACTCTGCAGTGTGAATATAGCGTAACACCTCTTCCTGTTGATAGAAGCTGTTTTACCGCAGGAACTCTCGAGCCCTTCCTGAATAATTGAGAAGGTTTGCGTGTATCACCTCGCATCTGTCACAAACAATGTGCTGAGTTCTCTGCTGTGAAAATCCTCTTTCCGACTGAAGAGCTGTCACTCAATGAGCTGTTTTGCCACCAGACCGGTTGGAAAGTACTCTGAAGAATCGTAGTGTTAGAATTCTAAAGGTTCCGTTGTACCCCTGCTCACGATCCACCATCCATTCTTTCAAGCCATTTTCTTGAGGAAAATGCACCATTACCGAGAAGCCAATGTGACATAGGTCCTGACCTGCCTCGTCCATGGGCAACTTCTCCTGAAATGGACGTTTTAAATGAGCACAGTGTGATGAGAATCTCGCAGCTGCTGACCTCTCCACTTAAGCCGGGCCATGTGCTATCTAAATTGGAAAAACAAATACAAATGGAAGGTAAAAATGAGGGGGAGGGGGGGTGTAGGATAATAATAGTTGAGGAATATTCCAATACTGAGTTTTCCGTCAGGACATTCTGAACTGTCATATAAGTGGGGGAAATTTAAAAAAAAACTAAGCTGTTGCTGCTGGTAAAAGTAAAACAAACATAATCACACGGCATAACTTAAATGAGCGGGGCAGAAAAGCCCGTGGCAGATGCCCTCAACTACTACTCAGTGTGAGGAAGCATGTGACTTATCCCATGGTTATTCCAATGAGAGAAAAGTGCCTTCGGATACAAGTGACCCAACTGCGACTTCAATTTGAACATTTCTATCAGTCCCCTTCCTCCCACCTGCATTTTTGGGCGCAGTATATTTCAGTAGCAACCTGCGTCATTTAAACCAGTTACCTGCCCCTAGCCGATCAAAATCAACAGGCAGGTTCACTGAGACGCTTAAGTGGATGGAAAGGATAATTATCTGCAAAAAGCATCAGGAGAGAAAAAAAAAAAAAACATCTTTCATGTCCCAACCCCAAGCGGCTTCTGGCTTTAATAATCCATTTAAAGTTTTAAACCTTAATGTGTTTTGTGATGTCCCAAAAGAACAGGGGAGCTTTTTTTTGTGCAATTTGAGCTGAAGTAGCCAGCATCATAATTTATGCAGTCGTCAAATTTCTTTTCATTTATTTTTGCAGAAGGCGCTGTCTGTCAAAAAAAAAAAAACATCTTTCATGTCCCAACCCCAAGCGGCTTCTGGCTTTAATAATCCATTTAAAGTTTTAAACCTTAATGTGTTTTGTGATGTCCCAAAAGAACAGGGGAGCTTTTTTTTGTGCAATTTGAGCTGAAGTAGCCAGCATCATAATTTATGCAGTCGTCAAATTTCTTTTCATTTATTTTTGCAGAAGGCGCTGTCTGTCTTATCGGCATCTGACGAGACACATTCTGAGAATATTACATTATATTCTCTCCTTCCAAGCATTAAAAAGCTTATCGTTCATAAAATTAATTGGATTCTATTCAGCTGTGTGGGATGGTTGCCTTGAGGAAAGGGGGGGGGGGCGCTCATGTGTGCTGTCCTTATCAAAAGTCTGACAATTTTTTCTGAAGGGTGTTCATTTGATTGAAAAAAATATATATTTGCTTTATCCACTCTATGTTTAATCATCAAAAAATATATAACACAATACAAATTATGTTTTAAAAGGAAAAGGGAAAAACTGGCCATCGGAAAAGGTTTCATCAATTTTTTTTTAAATCTGTCAAATTTATTTTTTTAAACGGAAAAGGGAAAAACTGGCCATCGGAAAATCCATTTTCTTTTTTTAAATGGGTCAATTTGAAAGCAGTAAATGGTGGGATAGGAGTCCGCACAGTTGGGTCAATCTGACCTCAAACTGGTATCCATACGCATTAGTGAGTACCCGAGTTGCACCCCCCCACCCCCGTCTCCCCCACCCATGCCTCTCTTCCAGCCCTCACTTTCAAGAAGGTTGGTGACCCCTTGCGATGGAGTGCACTTATGACCGACCATACATGGGGTTGACCTATTGGAAAATGTACATCGAGCCTCACGCAGACAGACTTCAAAAGGCTTTGTGATCAATCCCTATAAAGTCATCAAAGTATTTTTACTTATTCCACTGGCAATAAGGATGCAACCGCGCAGGAAAAGCGTCTGATCAAAACATATGTATTCCTTTTCAAAACACCAGGGTTTATGTGAGGTGAAATAACCAGTCTGGTATCAAATGTACCTGAAAGCAATACTTGAGTCAAAGTACATGTATCTCAACCAAATATAACTTAGGGAGAAGTTTAACATCACGTGGGTACATACTGAGTAAAAGTCTGAAAGTATTTGAGACGAAATGTACTAATGTGTAATTTTCTCACGTTAGATGTAGTTTTTAAGTGACTGTTTTATCGATGGTTTTATTCTCTGAAATGACTTTTGTGGTGAAGCTAAAGAGCTGCGCGTTAAATGGCTAATGAGCAATGTTAGCTAGCACACGTTAGCCTGGCCATTGACAACATTTTGACATCACTGGATGAAAATAAATTAGTGAGACTATCTGGATGGACATAAAGAGATGTAAGGGGGAAAAAAAAGTCAAATACATAGTACTGTATATATCCAGTTGCCTTTTTAACACTCAGTACAGGCAGTACTATTCTTCCACTTTGTGCGCCGTGGTTCAAGCATTATATCAATGAATAATTCATTCCTTTTTTTTTTGAAGTAACTTAGGGCAACTGTATTAGAGTAATCATTGACATTTTACTGAATAACTGTGGTAGAGTACAAGTAAAAGCTGCCAGCAATATATATGGCAAGGTAAAGTATGGCTACATGCTAATTCTACTTCGATACAATAAAGTATTTTTACTCCATTACACTACAATACTGGAGATAACAAGGTGATTTGTTCTTGGTGAGATGTGTCGTGCGCGGTGTTATCATTCCTGACTCTTCAAGACCCTTTTCTGCCGCTCTCATTTTTTTTTTTTTTTTTGCACATGCCTCTCAGAGTGTAATGACAGCTGGCTCGGTGGTCTCAGATAAGAGGAAGACTTGGACATTACAGGTCACCACATTAGATCTTATGAGCAAAGGAGGATTTGGGATTTTGGATTCACTACATGTGATACACAGCCGAGCTTTTCAGAGCAGGGCAGCGGTAGGACATACGGTCGATTTCGATGCCGTGGACCAATAAGGTGGGCAAAATGATTTCAATGAATTCATCCAACCTTGATTGTAAAAGTAATAGCTTACCACGCCTTTTAGCAATGAATGTTTTAATGGCTCGAATGCAAATGGTTGTTTGCCACACTGAAGCTTTGCGCAAGCGACATTCATTTTCAGTCTGGACGTGGATGAGTCAAACACTATTATGTCAAAGTCCCAAGGTGAGGTCCAAATTGGCCTTCGTGGGCTTTCGCTTGTTGGGTGGGGTGACAAGGGGTGGCAGGTATTTTATTTTTTAATGAATGGTTTTGAAAAAACTCCAACTGAATTCCAGCATTATCCACCTGAATTTTAGAAGAAAGCTTTGATGACGGAGCGTGACTAGGAAGTTCTTGGCAACCTGATGATTTGCTGCAAATATTGTATTTATCTCTGAGAGAAAAGCTACAATCATGAGCCCTTGGCAGGAGAAAGAGGGGAGAAAATTATCAGCCATTTGTTTCATGGTTGGTTTGGGAACAAGCACGTAGGTGTAGAAATCTCAAGTAAAATTGCATTGGCACTTTAAAAAGAAACCTTGGAAAATAATCAGCCTGTCACACTTAGAAAGGTGAGGTTTTACTAATCTTCCTCAAGGTCCAAGCAAACTTGGTCTGTTTGACTCCGACTAAGAATTTCATAACGTGAACAAGGACGCACTAATGGAACCAAGCCGTCGATAAAGAACTCCACTTTAAAATCTACATCATTCGAAAAAGGAGATTTTAGGTGGCATTTATTTTTTTTTTTAAATGTCAGAAATTTGGGTACAGTTGAAGCATTTCTTGGGACACTGGACTGCATGAAATGCACGAACGCAGAATGTTGGGTCAGGACAAAGACGACGCGTGAATTTCCCGGCGTCAGAGCTTGAAGATGGCGCGTTCTCAACTTTGTCAACTCATTTTGAGCAAAGAAAGCCAACTACAGGTACATTATTGGTGCATCCCAAATGTGTTGCACAGGGCTTACTATTGGACTCTGGGCCGGTTCCCAAGTTGTAAAAATCTAATCAAGGATGTCACATCAGAAACCTTAAGAATACCAAATCTGTGTTTGCTATGTTTTTAGGTGACCGTCCAAGCCACCTGCATCACATTGACAGCAATGAGTGGCGATCGCTGCTACATCACAGTCTACCCGTTAAAATCCCTCCGGCACCGCACGCCCAGGGTGGCCATGATTGTCAGCGTCTGCATTTGGATCGGTTTGTCTTGACATGAAACGCTACTGAGTTTGACCCCGTGTATGAAATTGAAAACTCGAGGCCGTTGTGTCGTCTGTGGTTGCTCAGGCTCTCTCATCCTGTCTACGCCGATCCTCATGTACCAGCGTATCGAGGAGGGGTACTGGTACGGTCCCAGGCAGTACTGCATGGAGAGGTTCCCCTCCAAGACTCACGAGAGGGCCTTCATCCTCTACCAGTTTATCGCTGCCTACCTACTGCCCGTCCTCACCATTTCCTTCTGCTATAGTATGATGGTAAAGAGGATGGGCCAACCAACCGTGGAGCCAGGAGACAACAACTACCAGGTATGGGTGAGGTCTATGGCTTATTTCTGGGTTCATTTTCAGTCATCCAAAAGTCATGGTGAGAGGCAAAAGTTGCAAGGGTAGATGTTTTGGGGGCAAAGTTAGAAAGAGGAGATTGATGGTTGGGAAATTTGACGAGGAGAGATAGTGAGTATGTTGGTGGAAGGATGAAGTAGATCAGGGGTGGGCAACTACGGTCCTCAGGGGTCACTATCCAACATGTTTTCGATGTTTCCTTCCTCATACACCTGATTGAAATGATTAGGATTGTTATCAGTCTTCTGCAGAGTAACGATGCCGAGAGACTGGAAGAGTCACAGAAAGATGTAGAAGTGGACATCCTTTGGCGATATCCCAAGCAGATGACCGCCACATTGTAAACAATGCCCTGAGAAAGCGGATAATGAATGCCGCTCAACTCCAGGCACGTTTAAGGGAAACGAGAGGCACCCAAGCAAGCATCACGTCAGACAAAGTGACGGCTAGCTTGTTCACTGCGTAGCACTATAAATTTGACGACGGGGGTCATCCTGTTTACGTCGGATTTCAATTTCTGTGGTGACGAACATGCCGTTACTGTTTCCTACTCAGGTCAACCTCCTGTCTGAGAGAACCATCAGCATCAGAAGCAAGGTCTCCAAGATGGTGGTCGTTATTGTCCTGTTATTTGCCCTGTGCTGGGGTCCCATCCAGATCTTTGTCCTCTTTCAGTCCTTCTATCCTAATTTTCGGGCAACGTATGCTACGTATAAGATCAAGACGTGGGCAAACTGCATGTCTTATGCCAACTCCTCCATCAACCCCATTGTTTACGGCTTCATGGGCGCCAGTTTCCAGAAGTCTTTCAGGAAGACCTTTCCCTTCCTGTACAGGCACAAAGTCAGGGACAGCAGCATGGCCTCCAGGACGGCCAACGCCGAGATCAAGTTTGTCCCGGCGGAGGAAGGCAACAACAATCACGACGCAAATTGAGGGAACGCAAGAAGGACAACCGGCTTCTTTCCAAATGAGAGACAACAGCTCTGAAAGCCAAACTGAACAATGTTATGAATTCAAAGGACACTGGAATCATTTGCGCACTTTGTTTCCCTGCCAATCTAGACAGTGTTGGCCCATCTGGAACTCCAGTTGGCAACTTAACGGGGATTCACGGTTGACTTTTTGGATATTAAGGAGATTTTGAAAGTTGGATAACCGGCCCAAATTTAAGCATTTCCCCCTTTCCAGCCAAAGGTCATTCTATGCCCAATTATCAAATCTTGTGTTGTGAGGAAGCGCCGAGTCATTTTCTATCCCTTGATGTGCACAGAAAATTGTAAATGTTTCACACATTCAATGTTTACGCTTGTAAAACCTCATACCTTATGTGTGGTCGACCAAAGTTTTGCAAGTTTTCTTTTAAAAGGGGACAATTACACGAGTACATTTTATGGGGGCCGTCGAAGTCTGAATATGTCTTTTGAGCAAGCCGTTCTGCTGTGATGTCACAGTCTGGCTAATTTAACGCTTTCAGGTACAGCGGTTACTACAGTGGACAGCTGATCATGTTATCGGGTTACAGGACGCATGAAAGGGTTACATTTGCAGTTTCCTCGAACCAGGGGCCATTTTCTTTTGTTGCTAGCGACTGAGAAGCTGGCAAGAAAAAAAAAAAAAAAGATCAACGTGACCCAAGTAAGGACCACGGTGGGGACTAAACCGTGCTTATTTGCAAAATAGCCGTTACTCTTCAGAGCTGTGTTTCTGAACCAAACCGAGCTATGGCACATCTGTGAAACGGATGATAAGAGGAGATAACCTTCATTCGTCCCACAATGGGGGGGAAGTGCAGAGAAAGATGATGACGATGATGACTCTCTTAAAAGAGCACCGAGCAGTGACAAATCATGCAGCGTTTAAAAGCCATTCAAAGCTATTACACATTCAAGGAAAGTACCTATACAGCATGTACATACACCATAGCAACTACATCATTAAGTCCATTTGCGCCATAAAATTCGGCCTTTACAATAATAACAATGTTTAGTTTGGAGAGCTATTCGTTGAACAATGTGTTTCTTTTTTTATTTTATTTTTTGCTTTTACTGTGGTTGTCTAGTTGTGCTGAGTGTCATGGTTCACGAACACGCTTGCAGTATGTTTGACTTTCTGTCTTATGTCCAGCGCTTAAAATATATTCACCTTTGTACAATAAAGACACCCATTTATTCTAACTGTGCTTTTTTTTTTTTTTTTTTTTTTTTAATGTTTGATACATTTGGACACCTTTTGCCTAGCTAGGGACCATTTCACAGTTTCAAGCAATGCGGTGAGATTCAAACTTGTCTTAATGCTTGTCCACCATGCTGCTCATGGGACCATCATGTGAGACTGTGCAACGATCGGATGTTGTGTTACATGCCGGATGCCCATCACAAGATTTAGGGTAAAATCTGCCTTTGTTGGTCATTGTCAGAGCGTTTGCGGCAATCATTTCAATAAAAAGGAGCAGCCTTGACCAAGGATGTGGAGAGAAGATGAAGATGGAGAAGAAGCCTTGGCTAGCCAAAAAAAAAGGAAGTAATTCAAGTTCCCCCTAAAATATTTATCCTGAAATTGCTTTTATGAATAGTTTAAACCGTATATAAAAGAAACACACCTGCAGGTTCGACGAAGCACTTTAGCACTTGTGTTTCTCTTTCGTGTTTATTGAGCCATAAAAAGACAAACATGAGTGAATCGATCTCGCACCATGTTTGGGCGACCTAAGAGGAAGGAGGGGGGGAACACAACAACAATAAAAAAATAAATAAATAAATAAATAAATAACAAGTTCGAACAACAATTAACTGCTTGTACGTGCCATCCAGGTTTCAAGGTTGTGCTAGTTAAAAAAAGCCACAGGCAAGCAAGGACACAAACAAGCAAATATATAAATAAACAAACAGCAAGGATTCATCATGTGGGATGTCGAATTCGCTCCAAAGCCGTTGGGACAAAAGCCGGAGGGTTTTCCTTTGTGCGTTACGCTGCTGCGAAATGACTCATCTTTTCATGCTCATTTCTTTTGTGCAGTCACAGTGTTCGTGAGTCTGTGAAACCTGCTGGATCATTAAAATATATCCAACAGAACTCAGTGCAAATCATTAAAAAAAAAAAATGAAAAAGGGTTTGGGTGGCGCTGAATGAGTTCACGAGGATGAATTTAATCGTAACTTTCAAATAAATCTAGATTTTCTGTCAATCGGGAAGTCAGACAGTGTGAAATATATGCAGTATAATCATATCTAATTATCAAAATCGAAAATAAATAAAAATGTGTGATTCTTTAAAATGTACGCTTCCTAGTCACCGTTTTAAAATGATTACTCCTAAGAGAAAAAAAAAAGAAAATATGGCCATCAGGATAAATGTAATTCAATTTCTTTTTTGAAAAACATGTTTATTGCAGATTCTTTTTTTAAATGGTCAATTATGAGCCGGAACGTAACACAACATATAAGAAATAAGACATTATTATACTGTAAAATATATTTTAAAATTTGCAATGTGAAAAAGAAAAAAAATCATGAAAGTATTGTTCTTTTATGTAGTTCAATGAAAAATACAACCAGCAGAATAATCATTGAAAAAATATAGAACGTCATTTTTGAGACTTTTTTTCAAGGTCTAAATTTAGTATGACACATAACATGTCAGCAGGGTTAAGAAATAAATATGAAATCATCCTTGATTAAAAATTCGGTTTTGCTTTATCTTAAATGACAAGTCCAAAGAAGGACCTCAACAACAAATTTCATCAATGATACAATGTTATGGTGGAGACGTAAGCATAATAAATAATGAGACATTATTATAATGCTATAAAATCTCCTCTAGACAGTTGAAAAAATACCTATGCATGAAATTGTGTTTTTGTTTTTTTTATATTGGAAGAGTGAAAAAAGATCAAGAGAAAGAAACATGTGAAGAAGTAAAAAACACACACCTGCCCCCCATCTTTAAAACAAGCCAATTTGACCATTATCTTAAGAGGAAGGTTCTTGAAGTGTTTTTAAACTTTCCCCGCTGTCGTTCGGGGTCGAATTGTCAGTGGGAGGGGCATGACTCGACGTCTCCTTGACTTTTCATCAATGTGACTCATCATTTTATTTGTGCCTCCCGTGGGAAATCACACCTGAAGGCGCGACAGTCGGCGTGGAAAATAACCAAATAATGGCGGTTCGCTGTGATTTTCTATTTTGTTTGAAGCCTCCCCATTTGCCGGTAAACTGGAGTGCTTTTTTTTTTTTTAAATTAAATGAAAGATCCTCCCAGTCTGCATCGGTTATTATGTTCCCATCAGCCAGCCACTCCGATGATGAGTGCCAAGACGATCGGGGCTTATTTGAGGAGTTCACTTAATAGCATAATTAACGGTCTCTTAAGTCGTCCATTTCCTCAGTCTAGCTCCCAAATGTGCACGCTAAAAGAAAAGACAGCTTACTTAGAGTAGCTTGTTAAGACGTGAAAAGGTTTTTTTTCACCCCTGCAGTTCACTTAATAGCCTGATGCAAAGATCACCACACTGAGGGCCCCTAAAGAGGGCGCTATAGAGCTAAAATGCCACCCTCGAATGATCATCAGTTGTTGCTTGACAATGCACTGAATCGCTCGCCTTAGTTTGAGAGCTATCTCACTGCTATTATCAATTCCTTCTTTTTTTTTTTTTTTTAGACATTTGGGTTTCAGATTAAAAGATGAATATGAGACAAAACTTAAGAATTCAAGCTTTTATTTCATAGTGATTACATTGAGATGACTCAGGACAGAGCATCGTTTGTTTGAAGCCACCCACTATTCAAATGAGCACACATATTGAAACAGACATGATGAAATTATCTTACAGTGGATAACCAGTAAAAATTTGGTGGCCGAACCCATACTTGCAAGAACCCATTTTTCATGAAATGCTTTTTCAAGGCCTTTACTGCAGCCTCTCTCAGTTCGTTTTCGTTTCTGGATGTCTCACCAGGCTCTATTGAGTTAAAATTCTGTAATTGACTTGGCCAGTCTAAGGCCTTCCACTTTTTTCACCTAATGAAGTCCTCTGTTGTGTTGGCAGTGTAATTTTGGTGATTGTCTTTTTTTCATGATGAAGTGCCTCCCAATTAGTTTGGATGCATTGTCTGAAAATTTGTTTTGTAGACTTCAGAATTCATTTTACCGCGACCATCATGAGTCGTTTTGCTGATGAGTGGTTTGAATCTTGTGTATTGCTTGTATATTTCTTCTCTCCAAGTCCTTTTCGAACAGCAGATTGTGATTGGCAGTCATGTCGTTGACTGCCGGCTTTGCGCGTTTCCTCACAGCCCTCACAATGTTTCTGTCATCAAGTGCTTGATGCTCCCCTTGGCCGACCTATTCGATGTCTGTTGCTCAGTACGCCAGTGTGTTCTTTCTTTTTCAGGACTTTCCAAATTGTTGAATGTGCTCTGCCCAAAGTTTGTGCAACAGCTCTGATCGATTTTTGCCTGTTCTCTCAGCTTCAAAATGGTTTGCTTTTCTCCCATCGATAGCTCTCTGATCTTCACGTTTGCTGAAGAGCAAATGCAATTTTCACAGGTGAAACCCAAAGCCGAACTCGAGTATCTAATTTTTAAGCAATCAATCACCCATCCCTCACACACTCCAATAGTTATGCTCACTTGAAAAGGTGCTCTGTTGTGAGTTGTTTCACAAATCTTGATGTAAATATCATAAAATAAAAGCTGGAATTCTGAACTTTTCAAGACACCCAACCATCAACTCTATTATATTTATAGAGCACTTAAAAAAAAGACAAATGCAGTTTTAACAAAGAAGTACACATAAAGATTGAAAATAATTACAGTACTTGTCACTCATCGCTATGGGCCAGGAACTGCTGTCTCTTCTTTGATTCAGTCGTACAATTTTGGGTTTGGAGGGGCTCTTGAGCAATATCTGCCAACTAGTGGTGAACACTGTTACTGCAATTTGAAACTTATCAGCTCCAGTGAACCTTTTTCGACTCAAAAATTAATCGCTAGCTGACCATCCCTGCTCCAGCTTCTCTTATGTGTCAACCGGTTTTTCAAGACTCGATGAACCTCATTTCCCAAACGTTAGACATGTGACATCACAAGGGTGGTTAATTCAACACGGCAACAAACAGCAACAACAACAAAAGTCACTTTCCTTACAAAGAACTTGGCTGCGGTCTATAAAGGAGCTGCATGCCAAATGGAACTCCCCGAAGCGAGCAGACGGAAAAAGGCATCGCGGGAGCTTCTGTGGTTTGAAAAACAACATTCGAAACGTCGCCTTGTAACGCCAACGGGCCTGCCAGAAATCAACGCGTGAATCCTCCTGGCATAAGCAGACACACGCCGACAATTTGATGCCGCTTTAAATATTGTTTGTATGTGTCGTTACATCGCATGTCTACAGTTTAATCGTCTAAGCTCCTTGCAGCGGATAAAGAATGTGTGGCGGTGAGTACTGTTACGTTAAATGTTTAAATA